GATAGCACCTGAACCATCAGTTGAACCTTCATTAAAATATATTATTAGTTTTAACTTTCACCGTTAATGCACTTAAATGCAGTTAAAATCTTATTTTTCTTCTGCTCAGTGTTCAACAGCAAGCTAAACTTGGAATGAAGCTAAAAGTGGTGTTTATTTTATTAAAAAGCACCTTGTGCTACGTTGGCTTTGTCTGTCAACAGTATTTTAGAGGAGTACAGCTAGGAAAACATTGCCAGAGCTGATCCACCAAAAAGGGCCATTACTTCCATGAAAGCTTCTGGGGTTTTGTGAAATGTAGGTCATCGCCTGAAGGGAAGAAATCTGCCAGCGCCCAAATAGTGCCACGATGTTGGGCAGCATAAACGGCCATCTGATGGCTGTAATATTTTAACTACTTTGTTTGTGAGTCTCACTCTTGGAGTGGAGGTACTGTAGACATTTAGCATTAAACACCACTCGTCCATTGCTGTAAAATTTTAGGTAAGGCTGGAGATTTTTTTCTTAAAACATTTCATATGATGTAGGTTTCTTTGAGGTGTTCTAGAATCTGTCACTATTTCTGTACTCAAAGACAGCTGTGCCCACTCTACATTGCCGTGCATTTTTCAGAGTTATAACTAAGAATTGCAAGCCCTTCTCTGAAGAGAAAAGTGGAATGTAATGGCTAACCGTATTTTTTGCCTAAGAACTACAGTTCCAGCATTAATTAAAAAAAAAAAAAACAAAACAAAAGCAACTTAACCTGAGCTACTTAGTTCTAGCACTGAATGAAATGAAAACACTAAAAGTTATCCTTCCTGTGACTCAGTGCAATTAGTAAGTCTTAAGAATTAGCATAATATATGTACAGCAGTGCCTCAGATTTCTATTGAGCTGTTTTTTTCTTTTTGTTCTAAAATTCCTCTCTGCAGCACTAAATGCTACGGTGTTAAATTTCAGTGGCTGAAGTGGGTTTTGTTAGGCTGATTATAACTTCAACACATTCCTTCTTGTGCATTAACTTTGATTTGGAATGTGACATTTCAAATATTTCAGAGATAAAGTATGCAGTACCAAAAATCAGGATTTATGTATTGGCCAATATGGAAAACTTTAATTACAGGTAAGTAATTTTCATGCTGAAGTTATCACTTTCAAAATTAATATTGCACACTGATGTAAATGCCATATTGTTTAGGAAGTATTTACTTAGAAATTTTCAAATGAACTTGTTTTTCTGATATCACTTGCATTTCTAGTGAGCTCACTCTGATGGTCAAAACTGAATTTTGATGGCATGTTTACAGGGGTTTGATAGGAAACTATTTGTGCCAGAAGGACGTTATGAGCATTCTTTTTGTTTATAGAAAAGCACTTAATTTTATTTAATGAGAGTTGTCAAAGTACAAAACACTCATGGTAATGTCTTTCTTACTGGGTTATATACCATTCATTTGTTTCGCCACCTGTTTTATCCTAGGCTGTCCCTTGACTCGGGGTTTAAAGCTGCTATTTCTAGTCTTCCTTTTGAAATATGGGTCCCCAAGTGATCTTAAAACTCCGTCACTTTTTTTTTTGTCTGCCAACTCTAGAGTGAAAGCCTCTGAATCTTGCTGCTTCTTCCATCATTGCCTCAAAAGGCCTTCTGTAAATTCCTGGCACTGCCAGCCTAAAGAAAGAATTGGATGGAATGCTGAAGCAGACTTGCAGCGTTTAATATAATTTGCCTTGAGCCAGTGCTACCTTTCCCTCATTTTTAGTAGCCATCAAAAGACACGCTGGATAATTGGACAGTGCACGGCAAGGTCTGAGTTCTGTGGTTGCTCTGGTGCTGCCGTCAGTGGAAAAAAACAAATCCAGAAACTTCTTTTCAGCTGTGCTCCTTAGGATAGGCTGTACAGTGCGTACAGCGTCCTCGCCATTTGTAAACAAGCTCTCCAAATTGCTATGTCACGTGTACAGCATAATCATACCTTGAGCTTCCTCACTGGCTATCCCATGCTCGTATCTCACTCCCAGAACTATTATGCTAGCTCCCGATCAGAATAAGGTCAAGTAAATGGAAAAATTTTAATAAGAAACAAGTTGATTGAGACTCAGGGTTCATTAAAATTTTTTACTCTCATTTTTTCTTAGCCTGTTTCTGAGAGAAGGTTCAGGGTAGTAAGAAAAATAGGTTGCCTTAACAAGAGTATGGACTTCCTCAACTACATGGTGACAATTAACTGTCTCCTTTTCCCCGTTTATTTCCCAGCCCTGCAGAAAATGTAAATGGCATTATAGAGCTGTTGTATTTGTCTTAAGACAGGGGGAAAAAAAATCTGAGAGGAACTGAGGTAGGCTTCGTGTCTGACCTTTATAGCTCCTTCAGACTGAATTACAGGAACTGCAGAAGCAATTAAAAAGCAAAGCAACAACAACGAGAAGAAAAAACCAAAGCAGGAAAACACTAAAAACAAACCCATAAACAAAGAGTGAAGTGGGGCCTAGAGATGCACAACAAGCTTTCTCTGAGCTGAACGGCCAGAGGAGCCCTTTGTGACTTCTGCTCGCTGCCGTGCGCGGCGGCTCAGTTTACTGACATGAAACTGCTGCTGAGTTGCTTCCTTTGTCAGAAAGCTCAAGGTAGGATTGGGCAGAGCCACGACCAGGTGAAATGGCAGTGTATAACCTAGCAAGACAAACACGTTACCATCTTGTAAAACAAATGCACATGGAATGTATTTATTTGACTTATTGTACAGGAAAACTTAGACTTAAATTATAACATCCTTGAACTTTCCAGTTAACTACAATTGTAGTACAGTATCATGTCTTAGTATGACTTCTGTTTTAGTAAGAGTACTTAAACATTCATGCACTATATTTTGAGTGAGATGAGCAGCTATACATACTAATTCTTCCTCAGTGGAAAGGAGCATTTCATCGTTACAATTGAAGTTCAATTGCTGGTATTTAAGTACTATCAAATAGATTTCTTTCAACGTGATACGGTATCTGTATAAACTTCAGGGATGACTCTAGTAGAACTGAAACACAGCTACGACTTCAGGTTGCCGTGCTGAAATTTGAGGCTTTCTGTAACGTGCGTAACGGCAAAGTTGCACAGAGCATACCTGCATTATCAGGGTGAACTTAAACCTAGTACACTGGCGTGATATTTATAGCAAGGTGTGTGTGTGCGTGTGAGAGGAGGCGCGGCTCCGCCAAGCCAGGAAAGACCACGGCCCTGCAAAGGCTTTATGATGAGGATGTCTGGATTAGGAAATAACATGACTTTTACTAAACGCTTTTTAGAAGACCCGTGTTCCGAATTATCACCTCTTACAATTTGGTTATGTACTTGCGATGACTGTATATGTCTGCCCCTTTAACAATATAAAGCTTCTAAATTAATATTTAAAATGCTGGCCTGCTTATGTTACAGTAATAAAATTTGTGTCAGTTAATTCACTGTCGATTTACATGTAAAAATTAAACAATATTTTTTCTGCATTTTATGAATTCTGTATACTGGAGTTTGTTAAAGATTGCCATGTTAGGTGATACTGTACAAAATTGTATTGACTACCTTTAGTGAAAATCAAAAGTAAAATTCATATGTATTTCCTTTTTACACTTCCATCTAATTTCTTGACAACTTGAATAAATTTCATAGAGCCTTTCTAACATGAACTATTGTTAATTTAACTGTTGCAATAATTAAGCTTTAAGAAGTATTGTTGGTATATTTATAATTTTAAGAAAATTATGTTTGTTTCATACTGCTTATTTTTAGCTGTTCTATTGTCACTGTTACAGCTGAAGAACTTTACTAAATACTTGACATTACAAAATAACTTGCTGGGGTTGTCCTCTGTATACTGATGTTAAATAAAAATGTGTGATTGAACTGTAAATGTAGATAACTTTCAATAGTCCTTTTCCATGTTTGAGTTCTAATTTATCTTGCAGTCTGTAGTGGTCCTTTGCTTTCATACTGTGCTGAACAAACGGCCACAATGCAAACTGTTAACTTGCCATGTTTTAAAGTAAGTTGAGCGCATCCTGTAACCAGCTCTGAGTAAATGTTTCCCTCCAGCTCAAGATAATGCATACATTTTGATGTTTAAATCTTGCTGATAAGATTGTGTCTTCTGATATATATACATATATATATTTTTAGGATTAGAGTAACAGAGTATTTATAAAACCATTTATGAACTTTAAGCTGAGATTCAATGAAACACAGACATGGATGTTTCTAGGCTGGTTCTGCCTAGCCACCAAGCAGGAGCTGGGCCGGGGCATTTGCTGTTCCTTCTAGGACTCTCCAGGAGCTCTTTCTTCTGTGGACTCTAGTGCAGGGTACGTTGTTTATTCCAGTGTTAGACTTTGACATTTACCTAATGACATTTACCTAACGAATGCTGAATCTACAGCCCTGAGGATATGGCTTGCTCGGATGATTCATGCGTCTTTAGTCTAGGAGAGCTTTGACTAGTCTGGAAATAAGCTCATCTAAACTTGAATTGCTTTAGGTAAAGTTGCATTTCATCTGGGTGGCCTAAGGGTGGCTTCACCCCTGCAGCCATAGCTCTGTGTTAACTCCTGGAGGAAGCAAACAAGTGATGCTTATTGCAGTGTTTCAGAGGCACTTCTGAGAAGTTTCAGTGGAGTAGTTTCTTAGTGTCACTCCTGTCTGACTGAGGTAGGGCTCTCTTCACCTCTTAGGGAAGTCATCTGTAGACTACAACTGAGGAAATGCTCTCTCTTAAATGAACCTGAGAACATACTGATACTTCAGAAGTACCGGCTGGCCACTTTGTGTATAATGTGTGTATTTAAGAACAGAGGCCAATGGAAAAACAAAATAAATCAGTCAAATAAATCAGTCCCGAAAGCTGACGTGGGCCAATTACATCATGTGATGCAAGAACAGGTTGTTCAAACCAGTTCTCTACTGTCAGTGTGTGAAACCAAACCAACTTCACAAGGTCTGCAGTCACAGAAGATAACAAAAGATGACTTGGAACATGCAAGCGAGAAGACACCTTCCTTTATTTAATGACGTTGCACAAACTTGTCAAGGAAATAACTTGCTTGGTCACATTATTTTCTGTTTTTCAAGTTGGATGTTAGGTAGGTGCTTCTTCCTTTGTTTCATCTCTTGTCATGCTGAGATCATGTTTATTCTACAACTAACCAAGATGAGCTTCCCTTCAGTCATCTGATTCTCCCCCAGTTTTTCTCCTGGTTTATTTCAATTGCGTTATTTTCTAATCTAGAAAGTTAAAACCTTAACTGGCTTTTATAGTTTGGAGAGACTGGAGAGAGAAGTGTTCTGGCCATGTGAGCCATCGCTGCCTGAATGAAGCTGCAGTTCTTATTGACTGAGTGAAATCAGGTTTCTGCTGGCAAAAGCATTCTGTGCTTTCCGTGATGCTTAGTTGCACCTTACTCTTCTCCAACAGGAAAATAAGCAAAAATTCTTCCATTTGCCATTCAAAAACTAGTCTTGATGTAACCATACCTTGTACTGCTACACAGGCAAGATTTTTTGCTAGTCTTCTAACAGCTTTTCATTGATGGCAAGCAAAATGGTGATGCATCTCTGTTACAAGAAAAATTCCTTTGGATATGGAGAAGAGAAGGGCAAGTGTTGCTACTACACGCTTTCAGGAGATCTGATCTGCCAAATGGTTCAAGTTATACTTTTCTATAACGCTACTAGAATAAAACAAAGCCAACCATTTAGAACTCTACAGTACACAGATTGTAAAGATAGGAGGGCAGAGCCAAACTGATAGCTGAATTCCATACAGAATGTTTCTCTGTAGCAGGTTTTGTTACTGTTCAGCAAGCACTGCCTTGGAACTTCCTTAACCTTCTTCAGTGATAAATTTTGACTCTGTCAGAGACTGATTTACTAAGTATCTGATTTAGTAAATATATGCAGTTCAGTGATTTAAGCTAATAAATGCTGACTCATCTGTATAAGAATCTGTTGGCCATTTGTTCACGCTAATCTTAATCCAATTCAGCTGATTTGACTGCAGGATTTTAAACAGATGTGAAAAATCTCATTTTGTTGGGGCATATTATTGCTCCAACGCGGGATTAGGCTCTGGGACTTTTGTCAAGTGAAGCGCTCAGTCTGGACGACTTTTTGTTTCAGGTGACTCTGAATATCACAGTTTTGAACAATAACTGTGTGCGCAATGCTCTGCCAGTAATTATTATTTCATATATTGGCCATAGCAGCAATGACAGAACAGATCGACGGCATTTTTGCATGGGTGTTCGTTAACTCCGCTATTGTTTGTTGCTGGCCTAATTGCAATAGTGACGTGTACTGTGGGACCTGTTGGCCTCTGTGCGTCCAGAAAGTTTTACATTGGTTGTATTTGCACTCAACTGTTTGCTTCGCTGCTTTTTTCACCTACTTTTCAATTTCCAAGCAAAGTAGAATTGTGCAGAGCTCTGCCATCCAGCGAGTTCCCCAGTCGCTGCTGTTAGCATCCAGTAACAGAGCTGTGCATTCACACATAGGCAGCAGCTTTACGGTGACTTGACCATGTGTCCAAATGTGCAGTTTGCTGTCTACATCAGTGACACCTTTGGCTCCAATTAGCGCTGTTCTAATTTACATAAAGAAAATATCAACTCTGTCGCTATTGATAGCTTTTATTCTGATTAGCTGTGTCTTCCTGATGTGTTTTTCCCATCAGCTGTCTCATCCTGATCTTTCACACTATTCACAGAGTTTCTATTAGGAAACTGTGTTTCGTGTAATTGAGGAAAAAAACCAGATCTTAAAAACAACTCCCTGCCATCTCAGGAATCGTGAGGGCTGGCCTCTGCAGGGCTTTCTGAGCAGACCACAGGGCTGAGCATTGTGCATTTGGATGGAAATGGTCATTTTGATTGCGTTTGTTACACTTTTTATTCCCATGCAACCCTATTGATGCCTTCAAAGTTTTTACTGAATACACAAAGCGCTGTGTGTTTCGGGAAGCCAGAGAACGTGTGGATCAATGTGGTGTGGCAGCGTGCCCTGAGACTGCACGTGTGATGCTTCCACGTTGCTGATGGCAGAAAAACAACCCAGCCCTCTGCCAAAGAGGCCCAGTGGAACAGCAATGATGCAGCACCTCCTTGGGGCTCTCTCTGAGGTTCTGATGAAGGTGGTCCTATCCAATTCCTGACTTGAGTTTCATAACTGCTCTGTTTCTCGCCCCCTGCCAACATCACGTGCTGACAGAATAACAGTGCTAATAAAAGGCTGCATTTATTTTCAAAACTTTTCTGAACAATCTCTTGATTTGTCTGTGTTGCATGCTGAGTACGGTCTGTTTGTTCTTAAGCTAAGCTGATGTGCGCTATGTGCTCTTCGGCGCAGCGGATCTGAAGCTGTGTTATCTCCATTATTCACTTTTTCTGTCGCAGCTATTAAGCAGCAGTGTTTCTGTTGCTCTAACGAGGTGCTGCAGGTTTTGTTCCATGCTTCAGCACCCGCCTGCCCAGGCTGGGTGGTTTCACCACAGAAAGCGCTGTGCTCTGATCCCTTCATCCTTTGTTTCCACACGGGAACTTTTGAGGTTGTTACAACCTTTTTCCTGGAGAATGTCAGTTGAAATATTGCAGTCCCACAGCCTTTGTATTACAGATCGCAGTCTGACATGGTAGTTTTTGTACCAAAACTTTCGGGAGCTGTCGCATGCTTTTCTAAACAAGACTTCCTAAAGCTGCTTTGTTGTGGCAGAACTCCACAGAATCTTTCTTGCTACTCAGGACCTACCTGGAATTCTTAAATTCTTACCTTCCTCTATAAAACTTTCACACCTGAAGCCCTGACCTTCTTGCTTTCCTTGTATGACCATCCATGGTCTGAGATGATTTTGGAAGACTAAGTGTTCAGAGGAACTCACAACACTGACCAGTGGCACAGAAGTGAATGTTGGGATAGCAATTGCACTGCTGTAACTTGGTCATGTTTGAAGAAGATACTTGCTAAGTTTTAGGATGTGTACACGCATCGATCATAACGTTCTCTGCAGTTTGGTGTCCCTGTGCCCTGCCTGCTCACAGATGCAGGAATCATTTAGAACAAGGGCTGCTCGTGTGCCAGCTGTGTGGGCTTTGGTTGCAGGGAATATGCACAGCGTGGAAGATGAACCCAGGGCTGAGAGAATCTGTGTGCCTGGTCTTGGAACTTACGTGTTCCAGAGCTGGTTGTAGTCGCTGGGGAATCAGGCACCACATTGCATTTCAGCACTTGCTACCAGTTTCTGCAGGAGCTGTGGGAAAATAAATGACTCTTCATTTCTCAATTATGGTTGCATTACAAATGCAGTATTAGAATAGTGCTTATTTCTCTTTGCTTGAGCTTGATCCTCCTGAAAGATCCCTACTATTTTCTGTGTGCTTATAAAGCACATATTTGCATATGAACCATTTGTCCTTCTTATTAAAGATTTACAATAATACTTTTTGGACATCTTTTTCCAGGGTACATGAAACTTGCTTAGTGGATGTAATCTTGCAAGAAAGACGTTCCAGTTGTTGCTGGATATAATTGACTTCTGAAGAAGGCTTCGGTAAATGAACTGTAGAGTTGTGTTTCGTCTTCCTTGCTTTGAAACCTTTCTTGGTAAAAACTGTCAGGAGTGCTTCAGTTGTTTGCTTTTAAAAGTGTGCCTTCTCGTTACTCCGTAAATAATAATAATGAAACTTTTTCTTCTTACTGAAAATGCAGCGTCTCTGAGTTGAACCCAGCCCAGTTGAATCCAGTCCCCTTTCCACCCCTGTCTGTGGTCAGGATATTTCTCCATCAGTAGTGACTTTTCAGTTCTGCAGCCCAAGCAAGAAAGAGCTCCTGTAGATTCTAAAGATGTGACCTAATTCTGCACTGTGTGTTAACTGCTGCCCAAACCTGTCGGCTTTGATGAGTCACAGGAACTTTATTTTTGAGGTAAGAAACTAAGCTGGTAGCTATTGAGAGGAATTGGTAAAAGTGCATTTATCATGCCCACCATGTAGTGCAAGTGGCACAGCGATGGTCACTGGTGTGCTTCCAGCTTAGCTGCCATTGTGTGAGTCTGCTGGCAGTTTTAAGTAAATAGTGACAATGCAAGAAAATGAAATTGTAATTAGATATTAAGCTTTTCCTAAATAACTGGTGTACGGTTCCTTTTATGTGAATAAATAAAAAGGGACTACTACACATGCATCGAAAGTGGGGTCTTTTGCCCCTGGTATGGCTGCCTTAACTCAGAACGGTAGCCCCTGCTGAGCTAGGGCTGCCACACAGGAGCAGAATTACACTTGAAATAAAGTCTCATCTTATTAGAATGGCACTGCAGATTAAATAAATTCTGAACACAAGCTTAAGTTGTAATGGGAAATTTCACTAAACTCTGACTCAGTGTGTCCTTCTCCTTACGATGACATAAATAACTCAGTATTCGGTTAGAGAATCTAGTTTTCTGTTTAAAGCTTGTAATGTTCAGTAGCATATGAGACTGAACGTTCTCCTGTATCAGGTTAGTTGTCAACCTTGCTGCTCCTGAGCCAGATGTGTTTGTTGACACCCCCAAAACGATCGCTTTTTGGTGTACCATCTTTGGGGCGCAAGGCAGACTGAAACCCAGTGCTGGAATCCTGTGCACCGCGCGTCTGAAACGCACACGCGTCCTGACGTACTGAAAGCTCTTCTGTGTGCTGCTGACTGATACCATAGTGGCTGAGGTTCTTTTGTGGGGAAGGAGGTGCTGATACCTTCAGTAAGCAAGTGGTGGTAAAACTAAATTGTACTAATTTTAGCTTCAGGCTAATAATTTTATAAAAGTACTCTCAGGTTCTCTTGCTGGATTAATGTAAACTGCTTTGTTTGCAGGGTTTATTGTCATCCCAAAACCAGGCCAATTCTCCAAGTGGAACTGTAGTATAGCCACCACACTACTGCTAGCAAATCTCTGAACACAGGACAAGAAGTAATGGCAATGGAACCAGGAGCCGTTCTTCAGGCAAAGAGCATCACAAATTATAATGTGGCAGAGTGTAAACATGGAATTATGTGAATCACATAGTAATTTGAAAAGGAATAATGTAATGAGTTCTTATTACAGCTAATACTGCTAGCTGCTCACCCAAGGAAGTTTTCATTTGAAAAAAAAAGCTTCCTTTGGTGCTGCGGTAAAAAATATAGTAACATTTTTGGTTTTCTTTATACTTTTGAAGTCCAGTGTAATTTAATCTATATATATAAATATATAAATAAAAATATATATAGTGTAAAATAAAGTATGTTTCTTAAATTGAAGTAAGCTCAATGGTTAAATTAGTACTTCACCATTGTTTATTTTGCACTGATTTTTTTAACCAGAGGTGGCGAGAGGACAGCCTGGAATGCACTCATAGAACATGAAAGTCATTACTTTCCGGCTTCAAATGTTATTCAGGAAGATGGATGCTGCAATCATAGATTTTTAAAACAGAATTGTTTTGCACTTAAATAGTTTAATGCTAATAGAAAATTACTTTAAAATCGGTGTCTAAACACCAGAAAAACTATGTTGTGGAGAGAAGATCCTTTGTATCTATTAAACATTTATTTTAATATTGTTGTTTCCAACTGCAATCAGCTCTGTATTATATGTATAAATAATGTAATTCAGTGACGGGGAGGGGATTAATGGATCATTACACTAGAAACTCAGTCATTTAAGAAAGTGATATTTCTAATTCAGAAAATACATATTAAACTATCTTGAATATGCATTTTTGTTTACTTTCTGTTCAAATTTGATCCGTTTTGATGTAATCAATCCTTTGTTGAATTAAATGTTTGGTACAGAAATATAATATAAACTTTGTAGAACAAATTCCTTTTGAAAAACCTCACCTGGAACATTGCTTCATGTTTAATATAGTTGAATTTTGACTAGGAAAATGAAGTAACTTTGGTCCGTTCTCATTCTTCATGGTTGATCTCAAAGCACATCAGGCAGCGGAAATCTCGCAGAAGCTTTGTGGGGCGAGGATTCTGTAATCCGTAATGCTGCCTGTTTGTCTGGGAGGTTAGAAGTGAATGATCCAGCGGGAGCAGACACAGCCACCTTCTGACCTGGCAAACTTAAAGTGATGTCAGCATGCAGAAGACATGGTTTTGAGACAACTTGTTGTTCCCTCCTAGAGGCATCTCGTTTACAATTCAACAGTTTCAAATTGATAACTATTATGGAAACGCACCTCACGCATAAGTAAAGTTTAATGCTGCTTGTCTCAACACAAATTTAAGTCACTGGCAACAGAACATTTCAACTGCTTTTTGGCATTTCTTGCAAAGATTGAAAAAAAGAGAGCTGCTGTTTCATCCCAAGCCCCAGCAATGACCCGCGTCCCTGGCATCTCTCAGTGCTGAGCAGAAACACGCAGCCTCTTGGCCAGTCTTGCAGATGGGCATTGGGTCAGCAGAGCAGAGCTGAGGCCACAAGCCTGAGAGTGCAGCATGCCTGACAGTAGGCACAAGCTGTGCATGAGGCCGTAATTCAGCAACTGCCCGTCCTGCTCCCAGCCACGTAGCTGGGTTAGAATGCTTCTAATTGCAAGTAACCATTAGGCACCTTTAGGCAGGAGATGAATGAAAACCTGGAGAGAAACAACTGCATAGCTGCTTGTAACTACATCTCTTATTCTCGTCATGCAGCTGGCACATAAAGAAGTGCCAGCTGTATTTATAAACTGGCATTTGGATTGTCTACATCACTTAAAGACAGAACTGTACTTTACAACTCGAATATACTTGGGGTTTTCTAAAATAGAAGGAATGGGGAAAATACTGAAACTGAGCAGCATTATTGTTCAGAAGTTCTGTTTTATTAACGTATTGGGTTTAGCTGTTAAAATACAGATAAACCTTGTCACTAAAAACTAATGCAGTTACCTCCCTGGAGAGTTCTTTGTATGAGTGCTTCATACTGTTTGAGTCAAAGTGAAACAGCTGAGGAAAAGATGTAATAAAGGCCTTTAAAGGACTTTTTGTAATTTACCAGCTGTAGGAAAAAAAAAAACAACAACAGTACCATAAGGATCATAGCATCCAACATCAGGGTAATAACAGCAGCTACATACATACCTGTTTGCAGAGCACGTCCTGCTACAAATCATAGTTGAATAGCAAAGAAGGAGTCCGTGTGTGCTGCTGGATTTTTGCAGTATCTCTACCACTGGGCAATCACCTGGAAGTCTTCCACCCCCCATCCTTTCTTCACTATGGGAAAACTGATTTTAGGAAGAAAAAGAAAACAACTTATCTGGAAATAATGTAGAGTTCTATAAAAAGCATAGCTCTTAACATGGTAGGAAAAAATAGCTGTAGGTTAAAGCAAATTAAATAATGAAGGAGATGGTCTCAATGCAGAACTTTAGCTGGAAGGATTGCTTGCCAATTTATATTTTAAAGTTGAATGTGTTTTAACTAGAAAGCAAGTGGGAAAACTCAAGTTTGCCCACCAATCCAACAGTCAGAGAACTATATTTGGTTTCCAGAAGAATAGTAAGGAACTTGCTATTAAATAAACGTCCATGAAGTGCTGTATGTGCCCAAATGTGCAAGATCCACCTGAAAGCTTAAAATAAATGAAGAAAACATTCCACAGTGGTGCTTCATATGACATACCCAATTTTCATAGCAAAAGCAATCTGCTGAATTGCTTTTTTTTTATTCTAACAGGCCAACAGCCTCAAATACTGATGTGAGAGAAAATTGCTGTGATATACAAAGTCGGAGAACCTTATTTCACCATCTGCTCTTGAGGAAAAAAAGCACAAACCACCGGATAAGCTCAGAGCAGAAAATGTAAAACGTTGGAGGTTACTGCTTGTACTTTGTTGCCTGTAGAGCTGCAGTCCTTCAATCCATTTCCTAAGCTTAGCATCACACCTTTTAATTTATTATTTTTTTTAAATAAACCAATGTTAGAAATTCAAATATTGGATTGCCTTATTACCGCTCAAGCTCTCCACCTGTTTGGTTTCAACAGTATGAACCTCTAACAAACAAAGATGACTATCAGCAGCAGGACAGTATAACTCAGCTGGTCACCGTGTCTTCATGTATTCACACTCACTTCTGATATAATCGTGGTTAGGAATTATTTTCTACTTAGAAGTAGGAGGAAGATGACCTTCCTCAGTACGACTTTCAACTAAAAAGAGAAGCAGCACCTACCTGTGCCGTTGCATTCTGCTGTTTGAGTCTCCCTTTTCTCTGTTCCACTGTTGGACTGCAGTTCCTCCGCTAAGACAAGTATGTGAGTAGAGTCTTAGCTGGTTTGCTCTTGAATCAGATAAAAAGTTGCTTACCCTTTTAACTGGTGGGTATATAAAAATGTTGACCAGTTATGCTAACTTGATCAAAATCAAACATATGTTTGTATAATCTGCAAGTTCTCAGTAAAGCTTGAGGTTGAAGTCATTGAATACAGGAAGTAAATACTTTCCAGAAGTTAGCAGTCATTTATTATCTAATATGAAACCCTGTATTCTGTGGACAACGTTCCATTCCTAATACTGAACCTCATCAAATCCTCTTGTTATTTTTAACCAATCCCTTCTTCTGTCGGGTTCTAAAAGGAAAAAATATATATATTTAGAAAGTCCAGTGCAGAGTGTTTAATTAAACATCGATCATCTTTGGTAGCAGCACACCAAAGCATTAGGTGAGCAGCCCTTTATAGCTCTGGGAGGTTTCTGACAATTGTCAGAAAAACACAAAATAAAGCACTGTTGTTCTTGTTGGATCTCTAACAGTGATCACTGCATACTCTTGTTTTTCTTCACACTCTCAATACCTTAAAATGGCCAGTAACCTTCTCCTCTTCGTTCTATAGCAGGTAAGTGGTAATGTTTTAGGGAAGACTGAAGGGTCTTCTGTTTCTCAGACTGTTGAAGAAACAACAGAAGTTTAAAATATGCTCCATAAAACCTATCTTGTTATACATTAACGAGCAAGTGAGAATCTGTACCTCCATATTGGATCCAATAAATCTAACAGACTGCAGCACAGAGGTTGCACCACTTTTCTTAGCTGCAGGAAAAACTGACTGCGAAGTAGGTGTAGGAAGGGAAGGCAAGTTAGCTGCTCCAGAAGGTCTTAACATTGGTAGCTCTCCACAAGGAAATCCATGCTGACGTTTTGCTTTCTCCTGGGCTTTCCTAAGAGAATGCTTTTAGGATAGAGAAATAGCGTTTAATTTCTCTCAGAACATCTTAGAGAAAACAAAACAAATCAAATACTATTTTGGTGTTTTTGTTTGTTTGTTGTTGTTTGTTCATTTTTGTTTTTTAATTACTACCCCATGAGATGCTTTGTGCAATTTTTTCCTTACGGAAATTCTCACAAAGCTCACGTTGATTAACCCAGGAACTAAAGTGGTGGAAAAACGTGTCTGATGCTATGGAAGAAGAACTAAAGCTTTCAATATTGGATGCACAGATATTTTCATAATGATTGCTTTTTTTTTTTTTTTTGTGACAAAGCTGCACTTGAGAGTTTTTGCATGCAGTACCAATTTCTGTCTCACTTTTCAGATACATTGAATTCTAAGAGCGCTTTTGTTGGGCATTTTCACGTTATTTGACTACAGAGTTTTAGTAGACAGAATTTTGAATCCAATTTTAGTTTGCTGATTTTCTGAGTCGAATATAAGTTCAAGATTTGTCTGGATATCAGCTGAACATGGAATAACACTGTTAAAAAAGAAGACAACCAAAAAAACGTATGCAGACTGAAGGCCTTGAAAGGCAAAAATAAAGTTTGAGCAGAGAACAGAAAATGTATCTGAAAAACTTTTTTGTTTTAAACTCAGGGGTAAATTGGAAAAAATGAAGAACATAATTTGAAAAATGAGGCATTGACTTCCTAAATAGCAGCACCTATGAAAACTCTCTGTCAAAGGCATTATGCTGTGTCACAGCTTTTAAATTCTAACTCATTTGTTGCAGGGTTTGGGGGGATGGGGTTCTGCTCCAGACCCAATGAAGATTGGTTTGGGGCAGACCGAGTAAAACCAAGTAATCAGCTTAACTAAAACATTTGTTTCTAGCTAACAAGCTCAGTCTCACAAATTACTTTCTCAAAATGGACTGTCAATGCTTCCATGTAAATATTACCTCTCCTTGACTTCCCTTTGAAATTTGCCACAAATGCAGAGGCACTTGCCCTACTGCATTTTCTAGTAATCTTACTTTTTTGTGCGTGGCCAACGCCTGTGTATCAGCTGCCCTAAAAAGGTTGGGGCAAAAAGAAGAAAAAAAGAGGGAAAATGTCAGTTATGCTTTAAGTGAAGTTCAGACTTAGTGCAAAGACTTATGTTGACTGATATTTCATTGTATTGCAAAAGCTAAGTATCAGCACCATAAGCAAAGTTCACTTCAATCCACTTGAAATAATAAGCACACAGTGTTCTTCCACTTCTTGATGTTAGTGTTCAAGATTGAAATGATTTGAAGTCACTTGCCAGAGCTCCTGAAAATAAGGATGCTGCAATGCTTGATGGGCAGCAATTCTCTCATCAGGATCGTATGTTATCATTGCGTACAGGAGAGTTAATCCTCTAGCAGATAAATTGTGCACTGGAGGAGGTATCCCTTTTCCTTTTTTAAAAGGGAAATGAAAATTCAAAATTGTTGACCTGTGTTAAGCAAGTTGAGAACAGTTACTCATAAATATTCGCAGCAAAATTGCAACTTACACTTGAAAAAAAAAAAATCAGAGTTAGGAAATCAATTGTTAGGGGAAAACAAGTAATATTGGACAAAACATCTTTCCTAACAAGTCATGTCATTGGCCTTAAGCAAGTATGGGGGGGGAAAAGGCCAAATAAGATTGTTCTAAGCTCAGATTTCTTCTGCTTAAGATCAGATGTGTGACGGTCTCTGGGGAAGAGGGGTAGAAAGAAGACAACGCTCTTTGGTCAGCAGCTGTCACAACACAAGTAGAATTTGGTGGCGCTTCTCTGCCCAGAAACATCCCAGCTGTACAGTTGTATTTTGGATATTTAACCACTGAGATTAGTAACTGTGAGAATGCATACTTACTGCTTGAACTTGTTGAGAGTTCTGTTGGCAGGAGTGCCTATCACATCATGGATTTTTGAAATTTGGTCTAGATCATTAGATCCAGGAAAGAGAGGCTGAAAACTGCAAAGCAAGAGGTGGTAGTAGCATTACACCACAGTTAGTTAAACTAGTTTAAGTCACACCACTGTCACCGACTGTTGTTGGTTTTCTCCTCCATTTAAGAGAAAGATAAATTTAGGATTATTTATTTGTGAACAGTTTTAATACCAGCCAACAATTACAGGACAATATGTGAGCAGCACATTACTACAGCTGCATTTTTCAATTGAAAAGGAAGTTTGCGTTATTAAACAGAAATCTATAGTTGTCCTTTCCTCTCAGGGTTGGGGTGAAATACGTAAGGACAACATCCCTCTTTGTGAAAGGTAATGCATATAGGATTTTAGTTGAGATCCCATAAAACAGAGTGTTTTCCTCCTTTTAAGTCAGCAAAACCGAGCATTCCCTTTTGCTGTGTACGCACATAGAAATACATATTTATAAGAAACATTCCATTCCTACACACAGGTTCTTTTCAAGCAGCAGCACTGGAGAGATGGTAATTTGAACTACATTCCTGAGCCTTATCCTCAGTTAATATAAAACTTGCAAATAGTCCTTGAAAACGTTGTTATCAATAGAGCAATCTGACTCAACAAGTTAGGTCCACCAACATTCAATTCTTGCATACGTTCCCTTCTTCCATGCAGGCAGAACATTTCATTTGGCACATTATTTTAAGAAATGCTTCCTCCTTAGCACCACTTGGTTCTTGAAAGCAAAACATTCAGCCCCCTTTGGAGAAGGGAAAAACTTCTATTAACTGTTGGTAAATTCAATCCAACAGCTGTCTGCTCACCTCTCTGAATGTCTTTGTAAGGCTTTGAGAGGAAGGAGAAAAAGAGATTTGATTCCTGTTGCACAGCAGTATCTCACAATTCAAGCAGGAGTGGGAGTGGCTTTTGTGTGAAAAAATGTCAAAAATGCACCACCTCGAAGTGCAACCTACAGCTGAAGGAATGACAAGTGCACAAAGGGAAGGAATCCTCAGCAATCCAGGACCGCAGGTTTATGAGGAGTAGAGAAGGGGAGAAGACTTGAAAGACAAATGTGACTGAGTACAATTAAAAGATTCTTCCAAAAATGTGGTCTCAAGTGTAGACTTTGGCAAATGTTCAACAGCAAACACTGCAAGATCCTCTTAAGAAGAAACAAACCTGTCCATAACTTCCTTCAGCTTGGCAAAGCTGTACTTTTGAAAATTCACCTATTTCCAAGGAACATTCCTCATTTCTTTCTGAACACATCTATTGGGTCTCTGGAAATATGCAGTGGTTGCAAAGACTGAAATTTGTTACATTAAGCTAAAATTAGGAGGAAATGTCTCATTTGCAGTGTGTAATTTTCTTGCACAACTTCAAAGCACACCAATTCAAACTGGAATGGGAAAACACGGCATTTTTAAAACATTTGTTCCCAATTTACTCTGCAAGAGAACCACCGCATTTGGAATTTTTCAGTTAACAGTTTTCTGAGCGAACGAGGACTGTTTCTGCAAGTTAGCAGCCAAAGCATAGGAGTTGTCATTTAATGTGATGGCAGCAGCTGCGCCTGCCATGTGGAGGAGGAAGGAGAAAAGCAAATGTTACCACTCCTGGTTGCAGCAGTGTGGGAGGAGAATAGAGAACTGCTGTTGTTGCTATGGCACAGAGATACTGGAGAAATAGTCATGGTGGTTGTTAGTTTTTTGTTTTCTGAAGACCAAGGACAATTTCACTGAGTTATGGTTTCATCATCTTTGATAATCCTATAGGACTGTAATCCATTGTTTTCTGGACACCTCCTTCACTGGAACCCAACTTGAAAACATCCCAGGACAGAAGGTTCTGGCATGGCTCAAGGGTCTTGAACAACCCTTCCTACACCAACTAGTTGTGCAAGGGAGTGCCTTCACTGATCTTCTGTGCTCACGGAAGTCATGAAAAAAGGGGAAAACCTGCCATCAAGTGCATGAACAAAGGCTGAGGATAACTAGTGATGCCCATGCCAGGACTTGAGCCGTACTTCAGAGACACGGCAGATAAAGTACAGTCCTGTGAAATTCAAATATGAAGGCAGAGGCCTGGGAGCAGGGGACTGTTCAACAACGTTATTCTCCTTGTAACTATTTTGTAATGGGCATGATGTTTTCCCAAACAGCTTGCTGCTTTACTACTGGCACAGTAAGGTGAATAGAGTACCAGACAAGGGATGATTGCTGCCTCATCAGCCCTGCAGACTGATCATGCAGTAAAGTTCCACGAAATGGTGGAAACAAAGACCAGATTATCTTTACCATTTGCTCCTTTTTTCAGTTATTTACCTTTGATTTTCCTGATATCAATAAGCAAGACCCTCCACTGAACACAGTACCTTGTGATTTCATAGAAAACACAGCCAGCACTCCATACATCCATTTTGTAGCTATAGTAGCCGTTTGTAAGCAAGCATTCAGGTGCTCGGTACCAGCGTGTGGAGATATATTCTGTGTATGGCTGCTTAGAATATATCGTCCTACAAGATCCAAAATCTGCTAACTTCAGGGTATTCTGCTGCAAAAATAAAGTATCTTGAATTTAGAAACACGGAAATATTCAGGCAAGGATTTTCCTGACACATTTGAAGTAGTCGCTATAAAAGAAATCACAGATTACTTAAAGAATAAAATATCAGAAAGCCCAAGGGGAGTGTTGTAGCAGTAAAACTGCATTTAAATAGCACACAGCTCCAAGAGTTGAAGAGATCTGTGTCCCACAGTATGAAGAACTGCTTTTCTACCTCATTAAAAGGCAGAGCTAAGAGTTAATTGAAAAGCATATGGACAGTTACTGAAAGGAAGCCTGCTAAATAGGACATCTGGATTAAGTGATTTTCTTTGACTTCTTGCGTTTAGCAGTGATGTAATGGATGGTTTCAGCTTCCTTTTGCAACAGTTCTTTCCTGTATGCTTCTATGATATAGAAAAGAAAAAGAAATATCTCCAGAAAATAAAGTTTCATCAACTGGATTATAAAATCCTTGTTTTACAGACATTAGCAAAACAACATTCTGGAACTGGTGAGAGAATAGATTTCAATGAAGAAATCATCTGAAAGCTACTATCTTCTGCTCTCTTCCTTAGGAGAAGCTTCCACTTAGAGATTAAACCTAGAAAGAAAGATGCAGAACTGAACCCCACTGCTCGTCTCTAAATAAACACAGAGGAAAATATACACGATTAAGGATCATTTTGCAGATTGGCAGAGAATTGTCATAGAATCACAGAATGGTTTGGGCTGGAAGGGACTTTTAAGATCATCCAGTTCCAATCTCCCTGCTAGAGGCAGGGTTACCTTCCCTTAGAGCAGGCTGCTCAAAGCCCCATCCAGCCTGGCCTCAGGGCTTTGACACATGAGCACGGACACAGGAAGCTCTAACACAGCTGATCTGCCTCAGGTTTGTGCTTGTTCCTTCATTCTGCTAGATTAGGATGAAGCATCAGAGGCAAATTTTTATGTAATTAATATGAATTATATAATGTTTATATATTTTTATATATAATACAAATATTATAATAAGATCATATATAGTTACAGTTATAGTTATAAGTATATAATTACTTATATAATATATAACAACATTATATATATATAAAATAAAAACTGTGCTTCTATTCCTAAGGAAGTATTACTTTCTCAGCATAAACAAAAATACACCAATACGTTTCATTTTCAGTTAAATATTCTCCACACAAAATGCATTACCTTTATTAATATGTTTTCTGGTTTCACATCTCTGTGAAATATCCCATTTCTGTACCAATATAAACACATCAGAGAGAAGAGTTCAGTGCAAAGATAAATACTATCGGTGCTTCCACTTATTTGTAAAACAAACAAAAACCAACCAAGCAAATCAACCATAAAGTAACTAACACTTCCATCAGCCCTACCAACAGCAGGGTAAAAAGTTAATTTTACCACCACAGTGGGACAAGAGCTGCAGGTATGGGAATGGGGAAAGGGTAAGTGGAGGAAGGGGAGGTCAAGCTTTCTACTTCTGCTCTCGTGGTTACAAAAGGATGGGAAGGGCCCCCACGCTCCCAGAAGGGCTTCCTGCAGCTCCCCTCAGGTGCTGGCAAAGCACTGGCACCAGCTTGCACCTGGGCAGTGTCCTTTTTTCACCCTGCAGCAGTCTGCTGCCTCAGGTATTTGTGTGGATCTACTTAGCAATGACCCCAAAATCAGTGAATGATGCATTTACCGCAAAGGTGTTGCTGTGCCTGGTCTCTTACCTATGTATGTGATCAAGAGATTTGCATAACTGGTACATGTAGTTCTTTATTTTTTTCTCAGATAATGGCTTTCTCCGTCCTAGAATTAAATTTCAAGTTGTCCAGGTCATTTTTAGCAAACAAGAGAATACCAGGAAATACTCTTCAGCTTCCAATAATGCACTGACATTACATTTCCAGTTATGTTATTTCTGTCATTTAAAGCTAGCTTTGTAATCCATTTTCCACTCAAATTCAGCCATAATTTAAATTTCAGTGAGAACCAGAGTAGTTGGGCTAACATAACTGTCAGTTCTAGTCTGTAAACAGCCTTAACTTTTACTGCCTGTTTTTCTTCCATTATCTGCATCTTCAAATTCTGACAGAACTCCAGTATTTCACTTCTAAAAGTCTGATTTCCTTTCTAAAAAAAAGTTACAGGCCTTCAGGTTCATGATTCCTATCCATCACCTCAAATTAGCGTGATGTTTAAATGTCTGTGATTCACTATTGACTTGCAAATTACAGGTTAACCCAGACACTGCTTGCTGTTGCACCATAATGACAGTTATAAAATGCATCTACTTTACAGAGCCCTATAGCAACTACTGGGCCTTTTTCTTTTATAGGCTCCAAAGGCCTTTTAATCTCACTGTAATACCTTTATATAATGCTGCAATGTTGTCAGCAGTGGCAGAAGTGATCACATTTTTGCAAACCAAAGCAGGTAGGCCTGTGCCCTCTGCCATCAGCGTGGGTAACAGGTGGGGCAGGAGGTGGGGACTCCAGTCTGCCTCCGTAATGCACTGAGCGGGATCAGCGCACGGGGCGCTGGAAACTGAGCACACTTACATCAGGAATGTCATATTCTTACCCCAGTGGAAAGAGATGGTGTTTCAACATCAGGATTTTTGCTGTCTTCAATAGAAAAGATGTTAAAAGATTTGGCCATTCAAACCAACTCTGATTACTGGTGGTATTTAAGAAACCAAACCTTCATGAAAAGAAGTCGTGCTCAGTTGTCTTTTCCTCTTCACAGGTCACTACTAAAATCTGGAGCAGATGCTCTTCTACTTTCAGATTTATCACTGCAGAAAGCTTACTGGGAAGCCATTACGAAGCAAGCCATAAGAAGGCAGCATTAGGAAGCTGCAGTCATTTTTCTTCAGAGCATCTTCCTCACCTCTCTCTGAGCCTTATTTACTCCCTCGTTTTAAATGACCAAAATGTTCTGACTGAAGCAAAGGCAAGGCTGGTTGTCACTGATACCCCCACACACTGAGAGCAAGAGAACGATGGCTTCATGTATGCACAAACAGCCTTAACTGAACTAACAGGAATCTGTCAGTGTAACAGAGAGAACGAAATGGTAGGCTCAACTTCTGCTCCATAGGAAACCAGTGATGCCTTCTGTGAAACACCAAAGTTATTTTCTGAAGCAAACAAACAAAGAAAACCTACCTGGAAAACAATCTTGGTGGTTTAAAATTAAAAACAAAAACCAACTAATTAACCAAACACTAAAACCAGAACACATTGAAACCACTAAAATAATTTCCAACTGTGTTCAATGCCTAAAATAGCAGGTTTTTCAAATTAAAAAACACACACACAGAGAAAGCAAGTGCTCTGGGGTAAAGAAAAAAATAAAGGCATTTAAAGAGCAAATCCATACATTCACTTTTTCCACAATTGTAGTATAGTTCCTAGAGGGGGAAAAAGGAAGTTTGTTGTTAATGTGCTGAACTAACTTCATATCAGTGAGGGCTCCTTCCTGCACTCAGCTACTCATCTGACTTAACTTCAAAAATTCATCATGGAAAAAAAAGAAAAAAAGCCTTAATAGAACCCACAATTATTCATGTTTGTTTCTTTGATCAGTGGAGTCAAACAACTCTATTTTAATCTCAGATCTGTAGCGATCTGAACACTCAGTGTCACAGATGCAATGTGAGAGCAAGTCTTTACTACTCTGAATATCTTCCTCACCTCTCTCTGAGCCTTATTTACTTCCTCATTTTAAATGACCAAAGTGCTCTGATGGAAGCAAAGGCAAGGGTGGTTGTCACTGATACCCCCACACACTGAGTTTTAAAATTAGAAACAAAAAAACCAACTAATTAACCAAACACTAAAACCAGAACACACGTGTTGAGTTACTTCAATGAATCACCCAGCCGTAAAGACAATAAAATTTTAAATAACTCCACCAAAAAATCCTCTTTGACTACTGAAATTGTAAGTAAGTGCCACTCGGTTATTGTAACCAACTCCTTTGGTGTCTACAGATCCTTTCTTACATCAGCTTTTGTTCCTTCTGTAGGAAGGTCCCTTCCAACCCGGGTGATTCTGTGATTCTGTGATTCTGAATGCTTCCTTAAGCCCTGTGGCATCCCACCTGCTTTCACAGCCACTTTCAGAATTCTTCACAATGGGTGTTTCCAGTGAAAAATGTTCACTGAAAAGCGGAGAAGTGTTACTGAGCGGCGTTTGAAACAAACCGCAATCATTTTCAAGTTGTTTCATTGCAGTCCTGACCTAACAAGAGCCTGTTCAGGTTGCATTTTTTGTTATATAAAGCCACTTTTTTTTGTAGTCAAGGTCGTTTCCAAGTTGTCATGTAAAGTTTGACTGCAGAAATAGAAGGGCGCTGACCTGACTCTTTAGAAACCTTCGGCATGCATCCATGCTTTAAACAACTGGGTAGATGAAAGAGAGTAAATCAGCACAGCACAAAATTTCACTACAAAATTCAGAACGTGGAAGAGTGAACAGAATATAATTAATTCCACTTTGTAGTCTACACAAGGAGAGTTTGTCTGCTTAAGCATATGCCACATACCTTTTATCAGCTCATAAATATTCATATCCATAAGTTCACATATCAGTGAAAGGCAGCCAGCTTTTTTATCACTGAAGAAACAGATTAGGAGACTTTAAACTAGAAATAAAATGTACATGTTGATTTCTATACAGTGTAGAGAAAAAGTAATTTAACTAGTACTAAAATGGACACTTTCAGCTCATGCTTTCATGCTTTCCAGCTTAGGCTCTGACTTCTCATACTTATAGTTCGCACTATCCAGAGTGTCTTCTGCAGAATTTAACTGACTTACTCTGCAAAGGTGTTGGAATGCTTTTTTTGAGCTACACAACACTGTTCAGTATCAAGAAATTTCCAGTAAATTGAAGTGATACAACCTTACAACAAGGTAGAAAACACACTGTGCCATACATGAAAATACTTTCTAGCTTGGTCATCAGTAGCGTGTTGAGTGGAAATAAGCATCTGACTGCAATCTCTGCTCACAGTTTAGGTAGATGATACTCTATCTAATACTTTATTTTCCATTTCACTGCCCTGTAGAGGCAGATGTCTCTTGGCCTTCCGTTTTTCTAAGAAGATAATTGCATTAAAGCACACCCCCCTGCAATGCTGTTAACCCTGACAACTACTGAGAGAGGGGACAATCAGCAATCCAGTTCACAGACAGACTGAGAAAGAGCTGGGTGAGCTGGTTGGCCATCTGGATGACGCTGTATTAACATCACAGCAGCTGAAGCTGAGAATTCCAGAGAGCTGCTGACATGACTACCAGCTTCTCATGTACTATTTGCAAAGGAGTATCTGTAAACCTACCTACAAAATGATGCTGCCAAATAGCTTCTCTGGATCCCGACTTCAAACCGCCAGGCCAAACCAAGATCCTTGAAGTATCAGGGCATATTTCAGCAAAGAAGCTCTGAGTTTGCCAAACCAAGAGTCTCCAGCAGACTCGGTGTTGTGTAGTTAAAGTAACTCAGTGGGTTTGGGACAAGGGTTCAAATCATCAGCAAGTATTCTATGTTACAACATGAAGTTTAGGTATGCTAGAAATACATCTAGCCTGTCATCTTAATACGGATATTGAAGTGTTTTTCAGATTGCTGCAAAAGACAGCGAGCTCTCATTTAACAAAAAACCACAATGACTTCAGAATTTGACAGATCTGCTGTTTTTTCTTTCTGCTGGAAGGAAAGGCTGGCTGAGCTCCTACAGGTTGCCTCTAGATCCAGAAGTTACCGCATGTTGCTTGAACAAAATAAGGAAGAAATGAATGAACCATACTTACAAAACAATTTCATGTAATGTAAGGATATTAGGATGTGGATTCAACCTCCTCAGGGCTTGTATTTCACTCAGATTATTCACTTGTTCAATACTAAAGTTGAATTAAAAAGAAAAAGAAAACTGACTTGCAATCAGAGACCAGATTACAATCGTCCTCCCCTGCCACGACTGTCAAAACTCACTTCACACTAGTTCTGAAACTGAACTTACAAGTGCAGCATCAGATAAATTGTTTGCCTGCTTTGTTTCTTTATGGAACAAATCAATAATCAGCAGATTATTGGCTCCATTCCTTCTTGCAGTCCAGAGCAGCTGGACTTACCTTAACATGATCAGTCATGTACTGTGCTCTAGACACCAGCTGCTGTGCCATGGACATAGCTGGCAGGAATGTTGTGACACATAATATGATGCAGTTCATTCTAAGCTGGCGTTAAACATTAAATCATACCAATTATTGCTCAGCATGCTGCTGGAAGTGACAGTCTAGCCTTGCCAAATTTAACATTTAAAATTCAGTTTGAACGTTAAGCAATTACATGAAAAATATATGCTATTCAGCTGTTGATTAATTATTTTGTTGCCTTCCTAAACTATAATAAACAACAAAACTACATGCTATAGAACCTCTGAGGAGGGAGGAGGAAACAAAGAGCTTTGCACACTGATAAATGGATCAGAAGAGGAGACATAAGCTTTTTCATGACTTTAAAGCTAAACACCAAGTCATGATTTTCCAATTTGAAAACAGGAGAAATGCTTTGAGTGGGCTTGTTCTGTTTAGAACACTTGTCTGTTTCTCGAAGAGTTTACCAAGAGAATTTGTCAGCCAATTCACCAGAGGGTTAAAGGCCTAAACAACATTAAAACCGTACTACGTGAGAACACAAGTTGGCTTGTTATTCCCTACCACTGAACTGCATACCTCCTGATCTTGATGGAGCTGAGCAGGTAGTTTCAGTACTCTTTTGATCACAAACTGGACAAGTCTGGTCAGTAGTAGGTAATGCATAAATGACCCAACAGTTGTTTAACGCGGCAGAGAATCAGAAGTCACATCATTAATTGAAGATATTTGGATTCTTTTGTGTTTGTTTGAGCTTACAGTAATTTTTTCACACTTCCACTTTTCCTTCTCTAAAGTTCTGAGACAGTAAACCGCTGACATTAGTGAAGTTTCACTTCAGAGCACACTGTCCTAATTTACGTCTTCTGTACCAACATGTCGCTCCCACTGCGAGCAGCAGGAAGTTAAGAGAGTTAAGTGAGAATAAGGTCAGTGACCCACAAAAGCAGAGTTGGGTGCATGCATATTTGAAGCAGAATGTCAAGTGAATGTCTCTGCTTCCACGTGGCCCCTACTTTTCCTGTTTAACCTTCCATCCAGCAGTGGTCAGGCAGCATTTGCTATAGTAGAGGACAACAGTTCAAGTACTCAAGGTAATAACCCCACTGCCAAATAGGAAGGCCCTTCATAATAAGCAGCAGAGATCTCTTCCTACACTGCGTGCAAACCTTTTTACTACACAAGTATTCAAAAACCTTCACTTAATCCTTATTTTTCATTTCCCCACTAGATTTCAGTCAGATACCCTGCAGGAGTAGAATTAGTTACGCATACCTTTTAAAATGTTGTTTCATGCATTTACATGCATAGTACTTTCCATCTCTAAGACTCAACATCTTCAGGACATCAGAAAACGTTCCCGCTCCTATCTTACAAACTGGTTTATATTCTAAAAACAAAAACACATTGTTTCACTTTACAGTAGAAATTGTTACAACGACCGCATAGTGACCCAGAGTAATTTGCTAAATTCTGACTACTGGAATCTTTTTTTAATAAAAGCTTGTTTGTTTTTTTTTTTTCTGTTAGCACAGAAAAAAACTTCTTTGAGAGGAAATATAAGGAATAACAGAAAACATTTTGCTGCTCACATTACATGAACTTCTGTTCCTGAAATACACTAACAAGGTTCAGGAGTAACCGTGCCTCCTCGCTCAGAGACACGATGCTCTCCACGTGGCACTTCTTATCCTTTCTTTCTGTTACAGTGCATTAGCAACTGAGGAATGCATTTATGCTTTGTGTCTTTCAGAAATGTATCATTTTCTTGAAAGGGTACCTTGGCATTGTTTCACTTTTTTCTTTTTTAAAGAAAAGTAATTACTGGTTTTAAAGCTTTATTCCCCTATTGTCTTCAGTCAAGAGTATCCAAGTAGGCCAAGAATAAGGCTTTACTTAAATATTCTCAGTCTTTTGCTCTCCTTCAGAACTGACATTTCTTTCCTCCTTTATTCTTCTCCAGCATTCTAATCAACTGAACCACTGACTGGTTCTCTTCACCCACCTTGTCCTCCTGTTTCCCTTTATTTATAGCACCCACAGATTCTACTCTTGATACTTCTTCCATTTATTTTACCTGTACAAAACCCAACTCTGCTAAGCTCTACGCTGCTCTTGCTTTTGAGCTAGATCCAAACCCAGGGAGGCAGAGCAGGATTCCTCCTCTACCCCATTGAGCCCCTCTGGGGAGTCGAGCAGCAGAGCAGTAACTCCAAGGAAGTGCAGCTGTCTGCATAAGCTGCCATGACAGCACGGAGCCAGGATGTGCTCTGCGACACTGCCCTCCCAGAAGCCTTCCTAACCTGATGGGAGCACTCCTTCTAAGGTCACTCCTCGATCAGATTCTGTCCTACTGCTTGGATTGGAGGAGAAGGGGATTTACTAGTGTAGATGTGGGTCATTTCATGCCAGTTGCTCTTTGTGGCCAAGAAGATTTCCAGATATGTTTAATTTACAAGCATAAATACAGCCTCACAGCAGAGAAAGCCTGCCAAGGAATTTTGCAGAGAGAAAAGTCACTTAGGCAGAGACATTCTAATGATGTTTTCCAACTAGCAATCAGTTTGTGTTGCCTTCACCTCTTTTCTCCTCCCCAAGCTTCGCATTTGTTAAAAGTCTTCTTACCTTGTGATGCAAGTGCTTACATTTTCATTAGCAGAAACTGTCCCCACGCAACCCCCCCTTTCTCCAACAAAGAAGCTTCTGGGAGAACTGTCATTTGCTTGACTTGTTTTTGTCATCTGCTGCTGAGGTTTTCTGATTATCACGCTTCATGCTGTTCCAGTGTAAAAAATACATATATTTCTTTGCCCAGATTTTCTTTAAAACCCAGTCCTCTCCATAAATTCAAACAGTCTTTTCATTTCCTACATTGTTTCCTCCCCTTTCCCCCTTAAACTCACAAATTAGGCCTTCTAATTAGAAAAAGAGAGGAAAACAGAGCAATTTAAAACCAATCACACAGTCTAGTGCTCTCTACACAATTATATATGGAACAATTACTAGAAGCAGAAATAGAATTTGAAAATCATTATGGGTAAAGGAGAAAATAGCAGAGACTCCAAAGTATGGGTGAGACCATGGGGTTTAGCACATGTGGCTGTTAGCAGAAACTGGGCAGGCAGTGCTTCAAGCAGGGTGATTTCTAATCTTTCGTGAGCTCTGAGGACCACAAGCAAGAAGCACATGCCCTCCTTAAGTTTTAATTTCCCATCTAAATAGCTAAATATAAAACAGGAGTCATAAAATCTAAGTCGTTAAATCCAACATTTCTAAAGAAGGTTTATCAATAGAGTTTTTGCTAGCAACTGATCTCCACTAAGACACAAACACAATGGCTGTGCTACATGCTCATACAGCAGCAGAGCCAATTTCCGTGGCAAAAAAATACCCAAGTAGCCATAAAAGTTGAGTTATGTGTTGACCAACTGAGCCATGAGCGATGCTGGGTGCACCTCTGGGAGAGCAGATTTAAGAGAAGGAAAACCAGCTGAGGAACTGCAGCCGGGAGAGAGGAGGGAGAGAAGCAGCTCTGCTGCCACCAAGGTGAGGCAGGAGGTGCTCCAGGCATGGTGCAGAAGCACCCTGCAGCCAGGGGAGGCCTATGGTGGAGCAGCGATGGAGTGTTATGGACTGCCTGCATTCCCTGTGCTGCTCCAGGGAAGGAGGGAGAAGAGGGTGGATGGGAGGAAGGTAGTTTTGGTTCTGGTTCTCATTGCTCTGGTCTGTTAGCAATGGGCAACAAACTGCATTCATTTCCCTATGCTGAGAGTGTTTTGCCCATGATAGCAATTTGTGATTAATACTCAGTCCTTATCTTGACCCTTGAGCACTTTTCCATCACCTTTTCTCTCTCTCTTCCTTTGAGGACAGGAGCGATAAAGCAATTGAAGCAATTATCTGCCCATTAGGTTGAAACCACCACAGGTCTACTTATTTTTACAATAAAATGCTGCAAGGCATGCAAAAAAAGATTATGTGCAAATAACAAACACCTGAGGAAAAGACTGGAAAGCCATCCTCTCCACCAGTGACAAGAATGACAGCTGAGAATCAGAAATGAAAATGGCATTAGTCAAAATGTTGTTTTTTTTGTTGATGCGTAAAATTAGCATGTAAACTCTTAACAAAGCAAGTCACTGAAAATGGGAGAGCCTTTCTCCTAGGGAGGAAATGGGAGAGTGATCGCACAACAAGTTATTGTTTAATGAGAAACTGAGAGGAACTCAGACATTATAAGAATAATGGCGTGATTTTACAGATTGAGAAGGAAAACAAATTAGACTTGCAGCATCCCAACAATTTAACACCAGTTTTGAAGTCCACAAGCCAAGATTTATGAAGATCCTTAAACATTCACTTCCACATAACCGATTCCTCAAAAGTGACTAGATGGCAACTAGTCTATAGGGGAACTGTTATGTCACAGCCCAAAATGATGATTGGGCACCTGGTGAAGGGGGTGGCTGGCCCAGGAAGCACAGGTGCAAGAGATTCATCTGTGCTTTCCATGTGACTGGAAGAGGTGGACCCAGGGTCCACACCTCCCTGGGCTCATTTAAGGGCTTTCCTTGGAAGGAAGAATGTCTCCTGGGTGAGGGCTGTCTGTTTAGAAGTGGTCTATAGCCAGAGATCTTCATCACCAGCTGGGTAAGTCAACTTTTTCTTGTATGTAATTATAGATATTCCTAATAATGCTTTGCATGGTATCGCAAAGAACTTATCAGCAGCAGTTTCACTGCCTCTAACGACAGACACCATTAAGCAGTAAATTATAGTAACTTCAAGCAAACACTGAAATAGAATAACCAGGTTGAAATATTTCAGTGTTAAGCTATGATGTTTAATACAGCTGCAAAACAAAACTACCAGTGAGTTTAGCTGAATTTGTGGTGAAGAGAGACAAGATTTTAAAATTTCCTGAGTGTTTTAAGACTGACTACTTTGAGGATTAAATTAAGCAAACAGTGTTTCTCTTGCTGATGTAACATCAAGAAATGCAGAAGACCTAATTCCCAATTTTTTTTTTTTTTTTTTAATTATTATTTTTTTAAGTGGCATCTGTAGCAATGCAGATGCTAACTAACCTTTCTTTCCTGGCTATTTCAGCATGTGTAGAGTCTAAGAGGCTTCAAATGATTAGAGAAGGCAGACAAGGATTAGGAAAATGGAATAAAATTCCATACAAGTCAACAAAATAAGGACTAGGATACACAAGTTATTTACAAGAATAAGTTATGGCAACTTGAACTAGTCTAACACCAGAGCTGTGGCCATGAGAATGGCAGAGAAGCAATCCTTCATTAGAAAGGCATTCTGGTGTACAAAAAGCTACAGGAGCCAGAAAGTAAGAGCAATGAAAGTTGTGTGAGTAATAGAATGCAAAGTCTGGGCCCATGTCTCTGTATCTAGAGAGCACAGAAAATCACCTTCAACTTGGAACTGAAGAATCCATTGTGAAGTGACAGAAAAGACAGCACTACAGCAGTCAATGGGGTGGTATAACACCTAAGGCATATATTCTGTTGAAATGAAGCTGAGGAAGAAAAAGCCATGGTGTTTAGGTGTAGTGTTAAGGCATGTGAGAAGGCAGAAATGAAGACAGCAATGGAAAGCTTGCCCTCGGGCACGGTCAGCAGGCTGTGACACTTAAGGCACTCAGTGACCTGCTGAGAGCGCGGGGCGTGACATGGCATATAGGAAGACCGAGGCCAAGCAATGGAAGGCACGGCTTGCAGATCGTGGTAAAAAAGAGGGAACTCGTGATTTCTGCAAAGGCAATTGGAGAGACTGGGAGGCGGGCAGGCCGCTGCTCTGCAGAAACGTTCGTTAGCAGGCCGGGCGTGCAGGAGAACAGCATTATCCAGCAGCAAGACGAGGAAACCTCGGGGCTGCGGCCTCCGGGGCCTCAAAGCACCGCCGCCGCCCCGGCCCCTTAGCAGAGGTTGCCGGCGGTGCCGCCTCCGAGACGCCCGAGCCCGCGCTGCGATTCGCGAGGAGCCTCCCGCCCTCGGGTCGAGCGGATCCCGCCGCCCTCCCCCGCAGCCTCTTACTGTTCATCCTGCGCTCGCCTGCGGGTCCCCGAGCCCCGCCGAGCCGTTCCCTCAGCGCGCCATGTTGTATTCCCGTCGCCTTGGCAACCGCGCAGGCTCTGTCCACCCGCCCCGGGCTTCGGCCTCGCGCAGGCGCAGTGCGAGAGGCGGCCGGCGCTGCCCCGCCGGCTGCGCGTGCGCCGCAGGGCTGAGGAGGCGGGGTGGCGGCCGGGCGCGGGGTTGCTCCGTGTGGCGTTGTGCCGCTCTGTGGGATGATTTTTCTCCTCAGGCGTTCTCCCAGGATGGAGGGAGTCTGTGAGCGGTCTGCGCAGCCCTCGCTTCTAGCTGAAAGGCGTTCCCTGATGCTGAATGCCGCACCTGTAGCTCTGGTTTGTGCCGGGCGCTACTGCGCCTTTGCATCCCAGCATCTATCTTCGATGGCCGCCTGATCCCTAGCGGCTCCCGCCTGCCACTGCAGGCTGTAGAACGCAGCCCGTTACAGGTGTGCGCGCCGCTGGCTCGCAGTGGGTGGGAATGGCATCGCTGAGGGCGCCCGGCTCACACCGAGTCGTACCGAGCGTAGCGCCCGCGCTCCGTTCTTTGGTCGCATCCTCCAACGCAAGTGTTCTGACAAACCCTGAAGGGGTGCTCCTGAAATACGAAGCAATTGCTGCTGAAAGGAGCTGCGGGCGGCACAGGCTTGCAAGCTGCAAAAAATACACTGAGTTGGTGTTTTCCATGCTTCCTAGGGAGGTGAATCTGTGGCACCCGGGTCTCTGCGCATCTCTCTCCCATACTTTCTAGTTGAAAGAACTCTTCATCTGTAATACAGCTATAAGGAACTGAACACACTTGGGGGCTAAATCCCTTTAGGGGCTGAGGGAGAAGCGTTTCGCACCACCGGGCCGGTTAGCTCAGTTGGTTAGAGCGTGGTGCTAATAACGCCAAGGTCGCGGGTTCGATCCCCGTACGGGCCAGAGGGTGATGCAGTTTTTGTTACGTTTCTCACCCCCCCCCCCCCAGTACTGTTTCGGTTCAAAGCTGCGTGCGCTCTTCTCCCCCTTCCACGTCACGCCGTCGTCGTTTACCTTCGCACGTCAATCAGGTTCCAGAAGCGCCTCCGCAGCTTTTTGCCCCCTCGAGGCCGCCGTCGGTACTGTGCGGCCCCGCCCCGGGGGCGCCATTGGCCCGCGCGCCGCCGATGCCCTGACTGCGCCCCGCGCCTCCGAGAGCCGCCCGGGGGGGGTCGATGCGGCTGCCGCCCGCTGACGCCTGCCAAGATGGCGGCTCCAGAGGAGGGGGGCACCGAGGCGCAACCGCGTCCTCCTCCCCCGGCTGAGGGCGAGCCCCCCGGAGCCGCCTGCGAGGAGGCGACCCTGGGCGCGGCGGCGGCGGCGGCGGCGGCGGCGTTGGAAAGCGGCGGCCTCCCGGCCCCGGCAGAGCTGCGGGCGGTTCCGGAGAAGCCGGCTCGGAGCTCGGCCGCTCAGGAAGGCGGCACCGTCCTCTACGCGCGGGCGGAGGGCGCGGGGCCGAGCGCGGAGGAGCAGCCGCCCTCTCCGTCCCGCCACTCCGCCACGCCTCTGGCCCCCGCGGAGCTGCGGAGGGTGATCGAGAGGGTGAGCAGGGCCCGGGAGCTGCGGGAAGCGTCGCCGCCGCTCCGGGACTGCGGCCCCGAGCCCCCCGCACCGCCGGCAGCCGTCGTGCAGAACGCGGCCCTGCAGCTGCGGAGCGTGGCCCAGCGCGTGGCCCTGCAGCGCGGCGCGGCACCGGCGCCCGCTCGCCTCCTCCCGCGGCAGGTAGGGCTCCGAGGAACCGCCTGGCTCTGGGGCGGGAAGGAGGTCTTAGCGCGGCGATGCGGCGGCACGGGCTGCATGGGGAGGTGGGGGAATCACCGTCCGTGGAGGTGTTCTCCGGGAACCGCGGAGAAGTGGTGCTGAGGAACGTGGTCAGCGGGGACGGGCTGGGGTTGGACTGGGTGGTCTTAAGACATCTCCAATTTTAATGGTTTTTGACCCCAGGGTAAGGCAGGTGGTTGCCTGCTCCCTTGGGGGAGAGGAGCTGGTGGAGGTTGGGCAGAGCTAAGGCAGGAACTTAGAAGAGGGGAGAATAGGAAGGAAGGGATAAGAGGAAGCATGAAGTGTGTTGTACTGGTCGTCATAAAGTTTTCTTGAACAGAGCACTTACTGCTGTGTATTCTGGGTCTGGCGTTCGGCCTGCATCATGTTACAAGCTGTAGTTCTCCTGCATTTGTTTTGGTAAAGGTTACAGATGTGCCTGGGTGATAGCAGTGCTGCTGTCCCAGAACCAGCCTGCTTGCAGGAAACAGTGCTGCGGTGTGACCTGGGAGACTTCACATGCTTTAGTTGACAGCAGTTACATTGCTGAACATGCAGGAAAGCCATAGCTTGAAGGAAGAGAATCTGTGCTCTGACATTAAATCAGTGCTTTGATGCTTTGAAATGGAAATTGAATGATGTGTGCTCATTTCTTTATGCCTTCCTTTAAAGGTATATACGTGTCATATTGGTAAATACCATGTTCATCTAACAAATGCGGTATTTGTGTAATCTCAGCTCTTCCTTTTTTCCACAAAAGCAGCTGGAAGCCATTTGTGTTCAAGTTCAGCCAGGACAGATGAAGGAAACAGAAAAGCCAGTGCCATCCTTGGCACCAATCCAGTCCAAAACTGTAATGCTGAGTCAGTCTGTTGGTAGAAATTCTAGCATGCCAGGACTTGGCATTATTAATCCCCAGATAATTAAGATGCAGCCTGTTACAGGACCTGAGCAGCAGCAGCAGCAGCTTTTCCTGCATAGTTCTTCTGAGTCTCCAGTTCAGTTGCTTATGCAGAAACCTTTGCCGTCTCATGGATCAGTGCCTGTGAACAAGATTCCTACAAGTAAGGTGCTAAACGGACAGAAAACTGCACGTGCCACAGTATCACCTGCGAGGTCTTCAAATATTGCAGCCAGCTCAACAAACACTCTGATGCCATGCCTTGAAAAAAAACAGAAAGATGACAAGCTAAAAAAGTCTTTGAAAGTGAAAACTCGTTCCGGACGGATTTCACGCCCTCCAAAGTACAAGGCTAAAGATTATAAATTCATTAAAATGGAGGATTTGGCTGATAGTCATCAGTCTGATTCCGACGACTACTCTGAGCTGATTATAGAAGATGATGAAGAGGGAAAGGTGAAGGGAAAGGATGCATTGTTCAATTCTTCAAATTATAATCTGAAACCCAAAATGTTTAAGTGTCAGACTTGTGAAAAGTCCTATATAGGAAAAGGAGGATTAGCAAGACATTATAAACTTAACCCTGGTCATGGACAGCTGGAGTCTGTACCTCAAAAAACACCCTTGAATAAACCTAATGGAAGCATATCTGTGGACAATCTCTGCGGAATAGGAGAGGAAATTATGAGTCCAGTGCATTTGAATTCCATTGCTGTCACTTTAAATAATGAAAACGCACTACCTACCAATTTGGAAGAAACTGCTGGCTCACAGGTTGAACAGGTAAAGTGTGTTACAGCTGTCAGTTTTGTAGAAATCAGAAGGGCAGATTAATAGCTGCATACTGCAGTCATTCATCTGAGTTCCCACTGACAACAGTGTTTTTTTTAAGACTGAAGGTAGAAATTTAAATACATGTGAATTCACTTGTACGTCTTGTTAGTGAAACATACAAGTCAGTACTGCTCAGTAATATTTACTAATATGCAAACTTAGACACACTGCTGATTAAAATGCTCATAAGAGATGACAGCTCATTTTCTTTGAAATTGCATCAGGAATAGTGTTCCTGCAGAGGCACATAAAACATTCCCTGCATGATTGTTACTGGATTTCCAACATACGGTCTGCAGGTCTGCATTAATAGCCTTTTCTTGTCCACTCAGAGAAGAATGCTAACATTGATCGTGCTTTTTGCATGGCAGACAGCAAGGCATCAACTACCTTATCAATTTCTGTTACTGAAATAGAGGATTTTCTGTGGTGAAACTTATTTGGAATCAGAGTGGACTGCAACTCTTCCTAGAGCAAGTCTTGAAAGTGAGGCTTAGCTTACCTCTGTGAACTGAGTACTTTCATCTTGACTCTCTGAACTGGAAGCCACCGCAGTGGCATTTTTTGTGATGTTTTAAGCTTGCCAACTCAAAGCTCCTCTTCCAAGTTACCTCCCAACTAACACTTTGTAGCAATAGCTGATGCCCTTGTTGATGCAGTTGTGTAATCTTTTAGATGTAGCAGCGTCCCATTTTTTACTTCTATTGGTAAAACAGAAGTTGTCAGAAATATGAAAATTTGCAGGTCAGAGTTCCAGTGCAGCAAATACCACCCTCATTCCCTGCACTATTCTGTCATCTTTGGAAAAAGAGAGAAGCACAGAATACTGAACTCAGTTGTCTGCATTATTATGTATTTGTTTCCCTGTGCAGCATTCATTTCATGCAAGATGATGGAAAATCTCCTTCAGACTATCTCAGTACTATTATTGACTGCTAGATTGCTGTAGTACCTGCAGTCTTTAGCTGGAAAACCCCATTTCTCAAAGTTTGTACTGTAACTCATTGCTTTAAACAGTGTTCTTGCTCAGGCAAAGAGGTTTTCTAGAAAGAATATCAGGCTTACCAAAGCTGGTACACGGATAGGTAGAGGAAAACAAATGAGACCTATGCTTGTATTCAGCCTTGCATTTGTTTAATACCCTATTTATTTTTTGCCCAGACTAAGAATTTCATTATAAAATGATGCTGTACTTAAAGCACTGTTTAAAATGATGAAAAAAGGCTTTTATTTTTTCTTTCATTTAAGACTTGTAAGTCTGCAGAAAGCAGAAACCTGTTGGCAGAACAACAGAATGAAAGCAGTTCAGGACAGCGGGGGCCCATAACAGCAAAAGGACCTGGAAGACCCAGACGACCGAAGAGACGCGGTCGACCGAGGGTGGGTGGAAGATCCAGGTGTTCTGGGAGGCTTAGCAGACCTGGTCAGTCCCCTTCAAAGTCCCTTAGTGGTGTGTCCACAGAGCGCAATGTATTCAGAAGAAGAGCTAGGTTAAAAGAGGTATGGTTCTCTTCTGCAATTATTTCAT